ACACACACACACACACACACACATATGTATATGATGTACAGGTTATCTATCTATCTATCTATCTATCTATCTATCTATCTATCTATCTATCTATCTATCTATCTATCTATCTATCTATCTATCTAGTCTCTTGCCTCTATCTATCTAGTCTATATGTCTGTCTATCTATGTCTGTCTATCTAATCTATATATCTATCGATTGATCTATCTATCATCTATCTAGTCGAAACTGGAAGAAAAAGTGAATTCAATAATAAAATGAGATAATCACTTTAATATGTACCAAGGCCTTCAAACCTGCCAAAAAAATAGCCATTTTACAAAGTCACCCAAGTCAAAATATATACATTTATGGTTGACATGTTTTAATCCCCGAAAATTGTACAAATCTCTGTAAATTTAGTGCCATTCAGCCTTATACATACACTCATTCCTTTGGACGTACACATACATTTAAAAATAAATAACGTTCCAGCCTCGTAACTCCGAAACGGATTTTACAACTTTTCAAAAAAAAAACCAAAAAAACATGCACACACAATTTTTTTCTTTTCTGACATTTTGTTTTCCTAGATCTTGCATAGGAATAATCAGGAATGGTCCATAATCCAGCAGGTGGGTTTAAACTCTCTTTTCTCTTCAGGATGTCATTTCAAAAACGTTTAATCCGGTTGAGGCACTTTGTGGATGCCTTCTGTCCCAGAAAAGGCAAGCAATACAGTGTCACCTAGCAAAGGCACAAGAAAAGGATAATGCTGAGTTTCTTTAGGTTTGGGAAAAAAATATATGTTATGTTTTTAAAAGTTTGTGTTTAGGGTTCTAGATTGTTTTAAAAAGGAGGTTTGGACCCCGTCGTGGATATGCAGTGTTCAAGTTTACTGATTTGACATATTTGGAATACTGCATCCAATTTTGGTCACCATGATGCAAAAAAAAAAGTGCTGAGATTTGAGAATTAGTGCACAGAAGAGCAACTAAAATAAGGAATTAAGATTAGGAAGCCAGAGGCTAAAACACAGTACAATGAACAGTTGCAGGAATTGGGTATGTCTAGACCAGTGTTTCTCAACCTTGGAGACTTGAAGTCCTGTGGACTTCAACTCCCAGAATCCCCCAGCCAGCACAGCTGGCTGGGGGATTCTGGGACTTGAAGTCCACAGGACTTCAAGTCTCCAAGGTTGAGAAACACTGGTCTAGACTAACAAAGAGAATAGGGGGTGACAGACAATAGGCAGTCTTCCAATATTTGAGTGGCTGACACAGAGAGGAAAAGGATCAACTTCAGATTTTCAGAAGTTGTGGGAGCTTCATCACTGGAAGCTTTCAAGAAGAGACTGGACTGCCATCTGTCAAAAACGGTGTCGGGTCTGCTTGAGTGGGGGGTTGGACTAGATCAAGGGCTGCCAACCTTTCGGACCTCAGGGACCATTAAATTCATAACTTTAAATCCCACGGACCACTAATGATTTTTTAAAAAAAGATAAAATAGTGTTTAGTGCTATATAAAAATCTATAACTTAGTCTCCAAAGCATGTGAAGGCAGAACAAGAAGTAATGGATGGAAACTAATGAAGGAGAGATCAAACCTAAAATTTAGGAAGTTTCCTCTCTGTGAGAAAAATCTCACCGGAGATTTTAAAGAAGAGAATGGACAGCCATTTGTCTAGAATGGTCTCCTGCTTGACCAGAGGGTTGGACTAGAAGTCCTCCAAGGCCCCTCCAACTTTGTTATTCTGATATTTTTTAATCTACCCACTCTATATACATGTTTTGTTTGGAACATAAGATAATAAACCTAGAACCTCTTCTCACTGAAAATGGAAAAATCTGTTAGGAAATTGCTTTTTGACATCTTCCAAGACACAGAGCTTCTAATCTAAGCAATATTTTCAGGGCAAGTTAGGGGCTCTTACCGGGCACTTTTAGGTATAACCCGTCAAAGGAAACTCCGATTTCTAAGAATAGAATTTGCTGTTGCTAACTCGTTTCTCTCTCATTCTGAAAGAAAGCAGAGGGGAAAAGAAATCAGAAAAGCAACATAACATGCATGGGCTCTCTTCTTCCTTAGCACGGTGATTTCTTAAAACTATTTAAATGCAAATAATTCAAAGTAGAAATGGAGTAATAAATTGGTAGGAGATAAATTTGCATATGCCACTGTACACTTTGGAAGTTCCAAGCTATTCTACGTATGTATTCGTTTTATATAATGAGCCACTTGACAAGCAACACAAGCTAGTGCACGCAATTTAAACAACACCAAAAACAGCAAATAACAACTGCAATATAACAAGCTTATTGTACCAAAGGCAGTTCAGACAACCAAAATAAGCTCACAGGACCATCTGACCAATGCTGGTGGGAGAAACCACATCATTTGAGTCGTTCATCAACGATGACCTGGACTGAATTCCATCCAGGTGCCTGATTGGTTTTATAATCTTTTTATTTAAATGTTTACTCCTGTCTTTAATAAGCATCTCAATATGGAGTGCAGTAGAATAAGGTAAAGCTAAATGTTCTCCTTGCACATACTGTATGTGCTAGTCATTCTCGACTCTGCGGTGTGGTGCTCATCTCTGCTTCAAAGCTGAAGAGCCAGCGCTGTCCGAAGACGTCTCCGTGGTCATGTGGCTGGCCAGAGTGCTGTTACCTTCCCACCAAAGGCGCTTCCTATTTTTCTACTTGCATTTTTACGTGCTTTCGAACTGCTAGGTTGGCAGAAGCTGGGACAAGTAATGGGAGCTCACTCCGTTACGCAACGCTAGGAATTCGAACCACCAACTAGTAGCAGAATACAAAGCTGCAAATAAAGCATGGTATTTTCTGGCTTTCTGAAAATAGTGACTTTGAATTGAGTGTTCTCCTAAGGATAGACTAACAGAATTTGTTATCTAGTTGACTTCCAGTACGGATAGTCATTTCGGATTCAATTCTATTCCCACTTCTTTCAGTTACTTAATCAAGTTCTTTGAGGATCCCTCAATCGTCGCTGTGGTTCCCAACATACAGTGATCAGATGTGGAATAGAGTTGCAGGACAGAGAGGATCATTTTAAGAAAGAGACAAGTCAATCTAAATACCTGGCATGCAGGAAGAGAACCAGGGAGGACGCTCCCTAACCTTTCACATGGTATATCCAAAGATTATGGAGATTTGGGCTTTAGTCTGGCAAGATTTTGTCTATAGGCAAGCAACAATAAACAAACTACTGTGAAGTAACTTCTGGTGTCGTTCTTGGTTCCTTGGGCCTGGCACATACCTCTTGTTGCAGGTTTCCTGATAGAGCTGCAGTTGCCCCTCGTTTGCGCTGAACTCTCTCAGCAAAGCATCCCGACTGGTACCCCGGGCGTTTCGCTGGGTGTCGTACAACTGATTGTTCAGTTCTGCTTGCCGTTGACGCAGCTGCCGAAAGGAGGAATACAGATCTTCCTCGCTTTCCTTTAGAGGAGAAAAAGAAAGAGTGTAGGCAACATTAGAACACAACTGACAGGGAAGCAAAAATCAAGTTTTGATGGAGGAAGCCAGAGGTGGTTTTAAGAATTGTGTGGATGCAAATTTCAGTCATCTCAATTTTTGCTATTAAGTCATACCAGACATTGGCTGGATTGAGTCACTCCTGGAGAGGCAGGAACTTTTTATTTTAAAACAAATCAACATGAACACACTTATAGTTCTTTTTATGTTCTTTTATAGCTTTGCTGTTATAGGGTCTGCTGCTCAAGCAATGTTCTGACCTAGGCTTCCTCAAAAAGCACGAGGCAGAGTCCTGGGCCTGACAAAACAACTCTTATTAAACGAACGTGAATTCCTCTCATTCACATTCAGCCAAGGCCTGGCCAACAGTCTTAAAGGAATATTTATGACCACAGACCTTATCTATCTTGGAAAGCTGCCATGTCAATATTTTTCAAATGAGGTGCTGTGCAAGGAAAGATTGGGCACAGAGTCTTTGAGATTCATGGACAGATCTTCACACTCCTGAAACTAATCCAAAGACTGAACAAACAAATTGCAAGGTTCAATCTATTTATGTCTATGGAGATTCTCAGTCACTCAAGTCATGGTTGTCCCAAAGGACAACTACTTCATAAACCGCATGGCACAGCATAGGAGAACAAACCCATCAGGAGAAGATTCAGCAGACCATCTGCATTTGAAAGACAGAGGCCACTCTTTTGAAGACAGCAAATTCCACAGACAGAGAGGACCGCTGGATTGAAAGAGGGGGTCAAAGAGGCCTTCTAGGTGAAAATTGAACAGCCCCCCCTCTCAAGAAAGGGTGAGAAATGTGACATCAACTATCTCCAAACTACAACGCAGTCCTTTCGGCAGTTCCAAGAAGACACCACACCCATTTGCACTACTTGGGTAACCCTGGCGACACAGATAAACCTGAAGGTGGCCTTAATGACTCGCTAAAAGGATGCAGAGGACCAAGCTTTGTCTGCAAGGTGTATCAATCCTTCCATTCCCCACCCTCCAGCCAGAGCTGAAGAAGATTCTTGGATGAGAAGCGAAAGGTCTTCAAAAAAAAAAACCCCACAAAGTCCAGTTGCCTCTTGAAAAAGCATCTTTAGCTCAATGTGTTTGCTTGCTTGTCTATCTATCTATCTATCTACCTACCTACCTACCTACCTACCTACCTACCTACCTACCTTACCCACCCACCCACCCATTCATTCATTCATTCATTCATTTACCCTGGGCAGTTGCCAAACGTGAAAGACCAGGTCACACATGAAGGTGCAATCATACCGATTTATTGCTAAACAGCCTATGCGCAGGAATCTTCTCAAACAAACATTTAGCACTTGCTTCGAGTTAGATAAGGGTCCATCCATGGATTTAAAGGGAGCTTAGTTTGTTTGTGTCTTGTAGGGATTCTAGGCTGACCCCCCTTTGAACACCACTTTTATTTATTTCATTTATTTATAACCCACCTTTCTTAATTTTTATAAATAACTAGTTGATAACCTGCCGTTGCCCAGATATTTATAGGGAGAAAATGTCCAGAGCAAATGTAATTTCTAATGTTGGATTTTTCCCCCCTACCAGAGGGAGCCCCCTTGTGGAGCACTGTGAAGCTGTTACTATGGCAACTCCACTGAGCTGTACAGTAGAAGACATTTTCCGGCAATACAGTAGAAGACATTTTAAGGCACAACAGGCTGTATGTTAACAGAACACACACCGAGCGGTGTTAGGGTTGTCTTACCCTCACAGTATTTTTTTCCAGTCATCTGTATACCAAATTTGGTTGAAATTGCTGGAGTCGTTCCAGAGTTATGCTGGAACACACACACACACACACACAGCCATTTTTATAGAGAGAGAGATTCAAGGTGGCAAACGCACCAATACTTCACCAAAATGTTATTTCCCTTGGATTTTACCAGCTACTGACAGGTGGAATTAGATGTCCACTTACCAAGATCTGCTGCATTTCACAATATATTAGAAGAGAAGCCAACTCTATGTCTTCGCTGTATCCGTTTTTGAGGGGGACTGACCGATAACCTAAAAGGGTAGGATTAAAAGCCTTTTAATGGACATTTCCAGGCAGTCTCGGACTTGCACACCTGAGGGGACAGACTGAGGCTCACCTGTTCTTATCTTGAAAGGACAGAGTTTACTAGGAAGCAGCAGGAAAGAGAAGGCATCGTGAAGGATCGCAAGACAATCCCATGCCCCAGAGCTGGAAAAAACCACAAGCAGCCACAAGAGATCTGCACTTCTGCAAGAGGTCAAAAGCAAAAGAAGAATAGAAGCTATCCAGGCAATTTTATCTATTTTTTAGCAGGAGGAAAGTTCAGATGTAACAGCAACAGAGTTGGAAGGGACCATGGAGATTCATGTAATCCAACCCCCATGTTCTCGTAGACCTAAACTATTACTTATAAATGGCTGTCTTGTCTCTTAAAAGCCTTCAGTGTTGTGGCACCCACAATTTCCAAAGGCAATTTGTTCCACTGATTGTTCTCACTCTCAGGAAATGTGTCCTTAGTCCTAAGTTGCATCTTCTCTCTTTGATTAGTTTCCATCCATTGCTTCTTGTCCTGCCTTCAAGTGCTTTGGGGAATAGTTTGACTCCTCCTTCTTTTTTGCAGCCCCTGAGATATTGGAGCACTGCTATCATGGTCCTTCTTTTCATTAAAGTGGGTTCCAGCAACCGTCTTCATACGTTTAGCCTCTAGTGCCTTAATCATCTTTGTTGTAAACTAGACATACCTAGTTCCTGCTGTCGTTCTTCGTATGTTTTAGCTTCTAGGCCCCTAAATGTGGTATAAAGGTAAAGGTTCCCCTCGCACAGATGTGCTAGTCGTTCCTGATGATGATGCTCATCTCCGTTTCAAAGCCGAAGAGACAGCGCTGTCCGAAGACATCTCTGTGGTCATGTGGCTGGCATGACTAAATGCCAAAGGTGTCCAGAACGCTGTTCCCTTCCCACCAAAGGTGGTTCCTATTTTTCTACTTGCATTTTTGCATGCTTTCGAACTGCTAGGTTGGCGGAAACTTGAACAAGTCATGCGAGCTCACTCCGCTACGCGGCATTATGGATTCGAACCGCTGAACTGCCGACCTTTCTGATCGACAAGCTCAGCGTCTTAGCCACTGAGCCCTAGATGTGGTATAGCCCCCCTCCCACCCGTCCTCCCACAAAAAATCCTCAATTAGCTGGCCAATGCAATAACAAAACCTGGCTGTATTTAAACCTCTCAAGCAAGAACAATCAAGTTCGTACTTAAGATTCACATCCTGATAAACTGAAAAGGAAATAGTGTTATGAGAGTGCTTTACTCCATAGGTAAAAAAAAAAAGAGTTGAGAAAGTGTTTGAGATGTCACTGTTAAAACTTGCAGAGCGAAGATTGCCATGCAATTCTATTCTCACTTTCAGCCCAAGCAACTGAGCTAAGATAGCAAGCTCTCTCTCTTTCAGCCTCAGTCAGACATGTTATAGAAATCTGAAAATGAATATAATACAGGTAGCCTTCAACATGGGGCCACAATGGACCCCAAAAATTCTGTTGCTAAGTGAGACGGTTGTTAAGTGAGTCTCACCCCACTTCGCAAACTGTCTCGCCTCCGTGAAGTTAGTAACATGGCTGTAGTGTAACTCCAGCTTCCCCATTAACTTGTCAGAAGGTCGCAAAAGGGGGATCAGACGACACCGGGGACACTGCAACCGTCATAAATAGGAGGCGGTTGTGGCTAAGCATCTGAATTTTGATCACGTGACCATGGGGATACTGGAACGGCGTGACAACTGGTCATAAGTCGCTTTGTTCCGTCGTAAACGCAAATGGTCACTAAATGAAAGGTTGTAAGTCGAGGACTACCTGTATTCAAAATTCCATGTTTGATCTGGTTATATTTGATATCCACCTGATCTGACTCCTTTGATTGGAAAAGTCGCGTGTGCCAAGAAGTTGGGGTCGCTGAACATGTCTTCTTCGTAGACCACAAAGCGTAGAAATGCTATGCTAGGGTCATAAATTTCAAATTTCACTTGCTCCTGGAGTACCCAAACTGGATTAAGGCCATTGTCATCTGTAAGAAAATGTATGTTGTGTTATATCCTTGAGTCCACACACTGGCTTGAAAATCTGAATACCAAATCAAGCACTGTGGTTCAGCCATTTATTCTAGCACTGGCACTAGCACTTAAGACTTACAGTATATATCGCTTCACAGCCCTCTAAGCGATTTACAGAGTCAGCCTATTGCCCCCAACAATCTGGCTCCTCGTTTTACCAACCTCAAAAGGCTGGAAGGCTGAGTCAACCTTGAGCTGGTCAGGATTGAACTGCTGGCTGTGGACAGAGTTAGCCTGAAATACTGCATTCTAACCACTGGGAGGGAGGGAGGGAGGGA